CCCCTTCAAACGACAATACAAGGGCACCAGCGGCAGCGTCCCTTCGGCGGAGTCAAGCCCGTCGACGGCACCATTAATGGCTTCCTCATTACGTGACGCCCCGGGAAGCCGCTTATCGACGAGAAACAATTTTCCGGAGCCGTCGTTAACAGCATCGATCGGCGAGGGAACCGTTCCTGGCCGCTGGCCGGCTGACGTCTCCTGGGAAACAAAGACGGGACAAACGAGCGACAAGTCAGCGGCAAACACGAGCCGCACCGCCGTCACACCGAGCCGCGTGGGCCGCCCGCCCCTGCCAGCTGGGCGTCGACAGCGCCACTGCGACTGAAACAACGACGACGGGGGCCCAAGTCGTCTGCGTTTCCCGGCTATTGGGAACTGGCTCGGCTAGCAAGGATCTTCAGGCTCTTTATAATTAAAGCGGTCGGGATGAGATGGAGATAAGTCACATGGCAGAAGAACATTTTTAAGTAGAGGTCATTTGTCAACTTGGAACTTATCTTCCGATTGGAAGCAGTGGTAGGCCTGATACATTGACCTGAAAAATCTACTAACTGTCGTTAAAGAATCTATTTTCGGAGCTTTCCTTGTGGTGTTCTGTAAGACCACAACCAGCGTATCCCAGTGACCTCAGCACGCGGTCCTAAAGCTTTTGAGTGCACCTCCGTATTCATGTACCTTCTGGGCCTTTCACCAGGAGTCTCTGAGAAGTGGCGACCTTAGCCTCAAATCTCGTGACTTGGTGGTGCCCTCGCGAAAGGGCCAAACTTTTCACGACCTCATACATGTTTTGAATTGCTCTCGTACACGATACTACTGGTATGCAACCAGCGATTCTTTAGTCATTTCGTTGGATCCCAATTCCATCCCCTCCGCTTGCGCTGCGTCACTTGTGTTGTATAGCTTAGGCATGCCATGGCTTTGGTTCAAGAATTTAAAAACGAAACTCGGGATTAAGTTACTTAGGTCACCGTATTTGAAATACAGTGAACAGTTCACCGTATTTTAACAAAGTGCACATTGAAATTAAAAAAAAAAAAAAAAAATCCCTCTATATTTTACGATATGGCTAGTCACTCATACGCTGCGGGAACGACAACACAATGAGGATTCTATGGCGCTTTTTATCGACGGAAGTCGGCAGTTGCACTGTGCACTTTGATAGGTAATTTTTGTAGTCATCGTTATCTGTGTGTACTAGTTTGGCCTTAAAGGGGTACTCCGCCGATTTTTGAGCTACCTCAACTAACTATATTTTCTGACTCCCAGGCCTTTACCCTTTCTGGAATGCTATTTAATATCGTGAAATTCATAATAGTTATTGCGAAATCGGCAAATGAAAATGATGCAAAAACAGACATTCAAATATACCCGCCCTTTTCAGGGCCGTGACGTCAGTGGAAGTTCAGCTTGCCAGTCGGGCGAGCAGTCTAAAAAATAGAATATGCCAATTATTTGTTCCGTGCTGGAGCGCGGGGACTGGAGCGAGCTTCCAAGGCATTCATTTGACACCATGAAACTGCTTCAAATCAGTTGGGAACAAATTCTGCAGTCCAAAGAGTGAACCCCTGCACTTCCAATGACGTCACTTTTTCATTGTTGCCAGTAGAGACTTTCAGTTTGAAAAACACGGTGAGGACCAAAATTGTAAATTCAATAACTTCGTGAAAAAAAATTATTTTGACCTAATATTTGGGATACTATTTTGGCGACGTTGTTTGGCGAGTTTAGCAAAATTTCAAGCAAATTGGGGGCCATGAAGAAATCGGCGGAGTACCCCTTTAAAGCGGCACTGTAACGACGTTTTGACTGGCTTTTCATTTGTACCGAACCTGAGTGCATTGGACGTAGTAACTTAGTCAAACAATTCTTTTCTCGAAATTCGCTTTATTTTAAAAAGTTATAGGCAAATTAAAATCACAAAAAACAAGCAAGAAAATAACCTCCTTCGCGATGTCCCTTGTCCCGGCTTGGGAGGCCCATCGTACAAGCGAAGCGACTCACCAATTGGCTGCGGCTTACGGTGATGGCCGCTTCCCCTTCAGCCGCATTCGCGTCAACGGTTCGTTGCTTGCTTCAGCCCTCCATCGCGTTTGCCGGCACGTATTTACCGGGTCTGTCGGAGTTAGACCTCCGAATCATCGATAGAAGTGCGGAGTTGGGAGTAGCACCACCATACAAGGACGCTCCTCGTAAGCGTCCGGGGCGGGCTGGCGAAGCCTCACTTCTTGCAAAATGTGCCGCCGGCGTCGTGTGCCGTCTGATAGAATCTGCGGGGATCTTTGTCCTCCGTACTTTGGGCACTGTTTCCCTCATAACCAACTCTCCCAATTTTCAGCGGTGCACCAATCTCTGCATTCGCCTTGATCCTTGGGTAATATAGCGACAGGTCTATTCGTCACATGCCGCACGCGTTCGACACCGCGGGGCGCCCCCGTAGGAGGAGGAGGTTTCCGCGCCGTCCGGTTAAGATATGACGCGCTGATACTTACTGACTCTCTCCGTGCACGCATGGTTACCCGAACCACAATAGACGTTTAAACAGCAAAAAAAATAGACGCTGAAATAGGGTGGCAGGTCCCCTTTACTATACCGGCTTTGAAACGGTCGCCATTGCTTTTAAAGTCTGCATCGCGCCCTACTTTATGACGATTTCAATTTTATCATCGCCTTGGACATCAATATTCGATCATGAAGATCAAGTGAAGCTCGAAATTAGCCACTATACGCTTCGAAGTTCGATCCTGAGCGGGTTTCTGGCTTTTCGTCTCCCGGGAGCACCAAACCTCCTCGCAACGACATTAAAAAAGACGACCGTAATACCGATCAAATAGACGTTAGCGGAAGCATTCCAAATCGATTTTATTGGCACGAAACTCAGCTACGAAGCTCCGAAAGCCGATCGAGGCGTCCCCCTCCCACGCGTCGGCGGACATGAAGGAACCCATCGATCCCTCCCCCGGGGCGAAAATGCTTGATAGAACACATTAGTGGGTTTTTAATGGACGCCCGAACCAGCGGACGAACAAGTGTTTTCCATTAGGAACACGACTGCCGAGCATAAAAACCTAATGCCCTTCGTTCCTTTCGGCGTTCGGACCGATCAAAAAGGCAGCTAGCTTTCCCTTCTCCCTGCGCGACCCTGGTTCCCTAAAAGGGAGGGGAGAGGGGGCACGGGGGTGGATGCGACTGAGGCGCCACCGGACGTAGTGACCAAAAGTGGAGTTAACGCGGATGGAAAGTCCACAAAGACGCTCGTTTTTTTTTTTTTTTTTTTTTTTTTTCAGAATTGCTCGTCTTTCCGGAGTGCCGAAACTTGGAAGTACTTAGCTCGAATAAAATATTGCTGAATCGCGAAGAGACCGGTCCGAGTGCCAGCGCGCCGGTTTAAGCACTCGCGCGGTAGCGCCGTTCCAACAGAAAGGGGGCGAACGGACCTCGAAGAGACGAAATGGTAGGTTTAACTGAAGCCGCCGGCCTGCCACTTGATCTTCATTAAACTGTTATCGGGAAATTCGGAGTAACGGACGTTTGAGCACTTAGTGGAAAGCTCCGAGTAAGAATTGATCACAGTTGTGCGTAGCTTTGTTGCTCGTTCGTGGTGATGTTTTTTTTTTTTTTTTTTTTTTAAATGGCTTTGTGGTTTTATAGAACGAGTCATGAATTTAGAAAACATTCAGGTGACCAAAACTTTGGTCTTATTTGTTTAAAAGCAAATCTCTGTATGGAAATATAATTATTACACTGTCACACGACGCAGGCTTTCAGGTAAGCAAAATATAAACCGGGTCTAACAAGGAGAACATATTTGAGTTGATTACAAGTCAGTGCGTACTTTCTCGAAGACGCATTCTCTCGGCCGTACGTACCGCCGTCTTTTTTTTTTTTTTTTTTTTTCTTTTGCCTACGTTTGCTGTTTCGACTGTTAGAAGAGGATTTCATTGTGCTTCTTGCTCTCACATGTGGCTTCCGCTGTGCCTTGACTGAGTCACTTTGTCCCAGTACGTAGTTTAGTACGACTGCGTAGCGGCCGAAAGAATCTTGTCGAACCGCACTGACACCTGGATCATCGCTCCTGAAATAATCATTTATAAATAGGTCGTTGGACATTTTCAACATTTCCTTTTTGGCGAGATTCGGTACGAGAAGGTCGCATTTTTTTTAAACATTAGATGGGATCCTTGTTTGTAGACACCTATCCGGTACCGGCACATGTACATCAATCACGTAATGAAGTAAATAGCACTTCGCGAGAGCTTTTTGGTTCATTACGCACCTACAGGTGGTTGTTTGATCTTTTCTAATCGCATATACTCGCGAATCTACTTTCCCCGTGACCTATGTCTACTTGTCAACGTTTTGATGACTAAAAGGGTTGCAATGCATCAGTGGTGAAATCATGATAAGGGAGCGCAAGTCCACGAGATATCGCGTGCCTATACACATTTCAACTTTCAAGCGCTTATTATCACCCAGGTGGAAAACGCCGTGGACTGTGCCCAGTCGACAAAAGATCAAAACTCGCAGAAGCGAATGTACAGGAATGGTCACGTCGTCCTGACGCCACGCTGCAGCGGTGGCGCTGCTGTCGGCAACGCGCATGCGCAGACCTCGGGCGAATTTGGTTTCTGCGCACGTGCAGGAAAACTTTCAACGAGAAAACGCGAGATTTGTTTGTCAATGCCGTGTTTGTTAGCGACGTACATCCTGAAGGACGGTGTTCGCGCTCTGCAGGTGTGTATTTTGGCAACACACACAGGAAACTGGGGCTTCCAGATAGACCATTTACATGTGCACCAAGATGGCTGCTTCGCTACGCGTGTTATGACTTGGCGTGTTTATTTCTTGACCCGTCGTATTGGTCGCACGAAATCCGGGTGCAAACATGTTAATAGCACACGTGTGTCCTCCGCATGTATGATGTGTGATCAGTGTGATCAGCGGCTTTACAAACGCTGCCCCAGCTTGACCTTATTCTTTCCGCTTTTGTTTGTTCGCAGGCGCATTCTGGCTAGTCGTGGCCGCATGGCGGCGCCTCGGAGGATCCCACGTGACACGCCTGCAAGTCCCGGATGCCGAGGGAGGGGGCGGGACCCCTGTCTCAGCGGCGGATGGACCCTCGCTCTCTGCAGACGCGTGTGCATAGTCCCTGTACAGTGAAAGCCTGTCGTGTCAACAACCCTGTAAATACTGCGTCGCGGAAGACGCGCCCGGGATGACCCGGCGAGACAGAGAAAAACATTAAAATAATGTACAGTCCTTCACCTCGTTGTGTCTGTGGTTCAGTGCGCGACACGGAGCTGCACCCCTGCGGCTCTGCGTCGACAGTATATAATTATCAGCCGTCAAAGATTTCCCCCCATTTATGGCGTGACATCTTTTATTTATCAATAACCGAAAATTATTTTTTAAGCAACACACTAGTCAACTTGTAGATGTCGTTTCGCTTTAATATCTGAAAGCAAACCATTACTCCAATCCCTTTAAAAATATGAATGAAGTGATACTATTTCAGTTTTAATACACTCTTTAGAAAGACATACCCAGGGAATATCGAACTAATAATGTCGAAACATTTTCAATAGTAACTAAAATTAATGTTTTTTTTTTTTCTAACGACAATTTTTGGGCTTCTTTACATATACTATGTTCAAACTTATGCTTGACGTTTTTTATGTAGCAAGAACTGTGTTCTACAATATTGTTTCAATCTTTTCTTAGGACCTATGGTTTCTTTTTCTAGTTTATAGCTAAGCTGTTTGAGCTGCTTTATATTTATTGCTTCATTTTCTCTATTTCATAACCGTCGTGAAATCTTAAGGATAACAATCGTAAATACGCCGGTCTTCACGTTCAATGCTGCCAATATATGAGGTTTAAAATTTCTCTTGATACGGCCTCGTATGACACCCCCCCCCCCCCCCCCCTTTTCCTTTTTTTTTTTTTTTCTCGCCTTCGTAGACGACATTTTGATAACGTCACATCAGGAATAAAAATGTTTTGCGAGTTTAAAACGGTCTAGGTTTTGGACAAGTCAACGTAGGAAATTATTCAGGTTTAAATGAAGGACTGAAGACGAATATAAATATCCTGGGACGCGTTTTATTAACGAGCAACCGAAACCTCGGTTATTACACAGCGACTATACGTACTGTGGAACAAGTTTCCATGACATCGCTAAGAACACCTCTGTCACGATTATAATACGCCACCGATGTTTGTGGATATACGTGCGAAACGAACGACGGACATGTGGAAAACCAAGAGAGACGGCGAGAACTACGCAGTAACACTGGATCATTAACTCCCTGTACATGGGGACGATCTTAATTAATTGAAGGCCACGTAATATAGTTCGATTGGGAATAAATAATTACCTCTTTATTCGTCCTGCCTATGAATATGCACGAAGATGCTTGTTCTGCGTTCAAATCATTACCCACAGCTCGAAATCTTTGAAAATAGGGATATCCCAAAGAACAGGAAACCGATAAAAGCTGCCCGCCATAAGAAATAATGAAAAGAACCATCTTTCATGACCCACGTACTTTAGTATTTACGTTTCGAATGTTTTTTAACCGCTCGTAAAGGTGCACGACAAGGTCATTTTCATATTCTTACAGGACGGGCATCTTACCAATATGTAAGCACCACCGGAATGCTGGCAAACCTTGAACACACTCTACATCCCTTTCTATTGTTATTTTGCTTAGAATTATCGCTCGTTTTTACATACCTGCTATGGAACAAAGGTTTGGGCCCGAAATATAGCGAAGTTTAACATCGTTCAGTGGTAAAGACAAAAGCTGCGACTAAAGCGATTACACTTTTACCATGTTAATCGAGGTACGACCCAAATAAGCAAAGCTCTCCTTGTTATTTTCCGGCGAAGAGACAAAATGCAGGCGCGTTTTCCCATAGGAATGCACAGGAGCACCGCAAAAGTAGACTGGTTGCTATCTGCTTCCATTTGCGTCACGGAAGTCGCATAGACACTAGCGCCAGTTGAACCTCTAGCGTACATTATAACAACTCTACGCTCGCAACCTACACTTCGTTTCTCCTCAGTTAGAACGCAGGACAAGCTACGAGCCGAGGGGAACAATCAAACGTCGTCAAAAGTGCAACGTCATGCTCTTAACCGGTTAAACCAATCCCGTGCAATGAAGACCCAATGACTTGTGCTCTTAGTATGCGTGTTCGTTGTTGCATGTGTTCGTGCCTTGTACTGCGCTCGGACGCATATGAGCAAATGAAGTATTGGGGATTTCACCGAAATCGACGGCATCTAGCGGCTAAAAACTAAATCTGTGGCGACATGTTCGCTCTCCAACCCTCTCGAGCTAATCAGAAATCCACAGCGCCCGGCAGTCAAAACACAAAGCCGTGAAAGTATAGGCTTACGAACACTCGATCGAAATTGCCCAATAGGATGCGCAAAACACGAAGTGCAGCAACCTCCGCCCGAAGCCTTTGCTGCTGAGTCACTATGCACGCGGAGCACGCACGAGGGCGCAACAGGGAAGATATCAGCTGGTTCTTGACTTCTGCCAGCGGGCTCATCAGCGGAGAGGACCAATTACAAGCGCCGCTGACAGCCTGCCACCGCTCCGGAGTGTTTCCTGAATCAGCAACAACATTTAGGGGACGGCGCTGCGTGTTTTCAGCGGGAGGGAGATTACTTCCATTCGCTTCGGACGCGAGATAGCCATCGTGCCGATGAAATTACTTATTTGAAGCTTGACGGACGTGCGGCTCAACGAAAAGCGGCGCCCACGTGCGCGCCCTCCCACGGAGCAGTCTTCGACGACCTCGAGCGCTCCTTCCGCGTTCGAGTGCAGCCATCCCGAATACCTGACCGAACGGCGTCGGAAATTGGTATGCCTTCTAGACGACTACGAAAGCTCGAAGATAGTTCTGTGGTGATGGGAACAATTCAGCAATCCCGTATAGCGCATTCAGCGAGGTTCTATGATGCATTAGGGCGGCCAATAAGTCCTTCCTTTAGCCATGGGTTAACGACATCTTAAATTGCGCCTCCAGAAGGAACTGTGCCTGACCTGGCTTCTTAGTAGTACACTCATTAACGAAGAAGCAAACCCGCTACTCAACTCTACTTGACACATCCCTGTCTCTTTTTTAAAAATGTGTTTCTTTTTACAAATGAATTCGGTACTTGTTCGCACATTATTCGCCACATCATCGCAAGTCTGAAGTTCGCTTAATAAGCCAGCGGCAAACGTGCATGCAATTGGAGTATAAAAGCTAAAAATTAAGTGAATAGTGTTTTTTTTTCTATCTCCAATTGGCTAAAAAAAAGCTAAAAATTAAGTGAATAGTGCTTTTTTTTCCGTCTCCGATTGAGAGCTGCGGCGTGAGTGGTTCCCAATCACGTCTTCATTGCTCAAGTAAAGGTATCACAGACTAAGCGTGACGTCACGTAGCCCTTCTAAAAAATATATAGAAACGTTTAAAATGTATTCACACACCGCGCATCTTGAGAATACGTGAAGCGAAAGCTCGCACGGCAGACTAATGTCATGAGTTCGTATCCCACTCTAATCAGATTCGAAATGAACTGGCATCGTGCCGGGATATGCTTCCTGCAGTGACGACTGCGTGACACGCGTTAAACACTCTAGATTAAGTGTGGCAGAGTAGCCTCTACACATAAGTTGCTGCATTTCAATGCACATAATCTTCCTACTGTCTTAACAGATCCAATTTGTCATTAATTGAACTACAGTTTATTTGAATCAAGACATTGCTATAGAGAAGAAGACTAATTCAGTCTATACTTGCTCACTCTCTCATTGTGCTTTTAAATGCCGACTATCTCGAATACAGCATTTTCTAACGTCTTGTTCCCAAGACGGGTAACCAAATGTTAAGCACTCGCCTTGATAACCAAGCTTATTTTTCTGCGAATATGGAGAACTTACAATGCCTCAAAAAACAATTAACTATATTTCTCTCTCTTTCTCTCTCTTTTTCTCGCTCTTTCTCTCTTGGCCTCTGGTTTTCCGTACGTCTGTTCTGCATGTAAAATGCTCCCCCAATCTTCAACCGAAAAAAGAGGAGCATTAAACCCTGAAAATGACTGCCACCAAGACACACGGCAAATCTTTCCGCACAAAACGTATACCCCAGACAAACCCCCGCTGGTAGGTGGGGGAGCCAGAAAACCGGCGGACCCGACCGACACCAGCTGCGTTCAGGGGGTCCCCCCTCCCCCAGGGTAAGTGCGAGCTATGGAGTCTTATCTCGGATCGCCATCAAAGAAAAGTCTGCCGGAGCACCCGCGCCTTGCACGATCGCCATCTCGCCTTTCTCGCGGTAATAGCCGCCGCGATTACCCCTAATGGGACGATTAGGACCAGTGCCGCTCCTTGTGTGTGTGTCAATGTATGTGCGTTTTTATCGTTTTTGTGCGCGGTGCGATGTCTGGTTAGAAAGTCTAATCAATTAGGAGTAGTAGTGACCCTCGCGAGCCAATTACGGTGATGGGATTTTGCAATTTAGTCAATTACTCTGCTGCCCAACACGCCTGAGAAGCGACGTGGGAAAAAGGTTTGCGTTTATTTTTTTTTTCGGTACGGAGATGATTTGGGAAGCAACCAATCTGTTAAACCGGCCGTTGCCCATCCTGCGTTGTGTAATAGTAACGCTGGTCGCTGGTCAAGGCATGAAGCTAAATGTATAAAGATTACCATTCTATTTTGGCGAAAGAAACTATAGACTGTAATATCCTTTTTCTTTATGGTCTGTGTAAAAAAAAAAAAAACTATTATCTGAGTTCGTAAAAAAAAAAAGAACCGAATCAACCTTTAAAAACAAAACATTCAATTGTAAAAAAATCTAAATGAAAGAAAAAAAAAGCTAGCGAAATTTTTGTTTTTAAACAGGTGAAGCAGCTAGCTTTATGACTAACCACCACTTTTTAAATAGCACTAAAAATTTAGCTAAAGATGACGTTTTCCCTTTCGTGACAAACAATATGCGTTCGTACTAAGTATCGCAGTAGCTTTATTTCTCTAAAAAATTAGTAGCGGAGTTTTTCTTGCAGTTGTTATGTTCGCGAAAACAATGAAATCGTATTCAAGACTCTTGAGGAACACTATACCTACATTAGCTGTAGTGTCAACCGTCATTGTCGACTGCAAATAGAGTAATTAAATTTCACAACGTCGCTTAATTTGGGTTCTTCTTTTAAGCTAGACGCGCGATACACTTCAAGAATATAATGCTTTTCACGCTGGAAGTA